TGGCGTAAGGAATGCATTATTGAAACACACCCGGCACATCTCTTTATACATGTTTATACTCATCCGCCTTGCCTGAAAACATAATCGAGGCTGAACAGAACAGCCTAAACTTCGACTCCTCAATACTCCCCTAGCCTCCGGTTGATATTCAAGGCCATACAACCCTTACCATTCTGAATAAACTTGCAAAGGCCTTGGAAAACCTTAAAACCTTGAAGTTCTTTCTATTCTTTCAAAAGTTGACAAAGCAGCAATGTGTCAAACTCGAACGAAGCCCGAATGCAAAGCGGACGCTGGGGGAAACATCCTTCCACCCCAGCAACCTAAGCCCTGAACCATAAACTAAGCCCTAACTCCTGAAACTCGAAAAAACCAATCGCTAAATCCCTAAAGCCCTAAACCCTGAAAGGATCGGCGTGAGAGTCTCAATGTTCAGACAACTCAACAGGCAAGGCAATCCCTAAGCCCAAAACCCTTACACCCTCAACCCTGAATCCTGAACCCTAAACCCTCTAAACCCGGAACCCTAAACCCAAAACCCTAAACCCTAAACCCTAAACCCTAAACGGAACCCTAAGGCCCTTCATCCTAAGGCCCTTCACCCTCAACCCTGCACCCCGAAGCTCTAAATAGGAAAGGCACATGGCAGACAGCGCCGCCAGCATCGACGGGTAGCCGAGGCACCTGGGTCTTTCAGCCCCCTGAAGCCGAAAAGTTTGGGGCTTAATTCAGGGGTTACTACTATTTGCTTAAGAACCCCCAAGAAAATAAAAAATATATTCCTTATGGGGGCAATATAGGGATTGTTATTTTTGTTTTTTGGTGGTTTCTTAAGCAAATAGTAGGTTAGGGGGGCTTTCTGGTTTTAGGGCTTCGGGTTTGAGGTTTAGGGTTCAGGGTTTAGGGCTTTCTGGGTTTAGGGTCTTGGGTCTTGGGTTCGAGCTATACACGAAGGCGTGCGCGCGCGCGGGTGCGAAACACCCCGGGCCGTGCGGCCTGAAGCCTTAACGCCAAGCCTGCATCTTTACGCTGTCAGGGTTTAAGGGAAGGCGCTGAAGAAAAATTCAGGGATCTGCTGGCTGCTGCCTGGTCGCCAGCGACGGGATTAGGATATTCTGTTAGAGTTGAGGGTTCCTTCTTGCGTTCTCTGCCCCAGCCTTAGGGCAGTCAGAGAGTTTAGCAACCAGCGGACCGGCTCGAGAAGTAGAGTATAGCGAGCCTGCGTATCACGTGAAGCATTTCGCCCTGATCTCCTTCAAGGGTGTTTCCTGGAGACCCGCAGGAAGGTTTCAGAGAGGACTCCCAACATTTTTGCAGAAAAGTCCAGGGATAGATGCTTGGGGGACCCGTGTCACAGCCGGAGTGCTCAAGAACCCGGTGGTTTCCGGCCAAAGCCCTGCAAGTTCAGTGTTTACCGTAGAATCATCAACCTTTTCCAATATTTGCAGGTGGGCTTAGGATCTAATGTAGGTGCCTGGTTAACCAGAATAAGCTTTCGGTGCAGATCACGCTCTAGTTATGACAAGGGACCACAGGAGGATACTATTACAGCTATCTCTTCTGCAGACCTCTATGCCATGGTTCAGCGATTGGTATTTAAGGTTTAAAGTTTAGCGATCAGAGCCGAGAGTATGGAGTGCAGGGCTTAGAAATTCGGGTTAAGGACTTAGGGCTTAGGGTCGAGGCATTTACGGTGGCCTTCGACCAGATTTCGGAATAGAAGTATACAGGGCAGCTTCCTCGGATCTTACATCCAGAAACAGTCTCCTTTCGCACCCTGCCCTCCAAAATCCGAAACGAACCACAGGCCAACGCCGCAATCCTAAACCCTAAACCCAACCCTGAACCCCAAACATACCTGAATGCGGCATTGCTGCAGGTTTAGGAAAGAGCCCAAGAATGAGCCTAAACCCCAATCCCATCAGAGTTCAGGGTTGAGGATGCCTACACAGAGAGAGGCTGATTCATGAGGGTCTACACTCGAGTTATCGAAATGGTGAGACTGACCACGCCGTGTATAGAAGCACAACCCTGAACTTCATAAACCACGATAAAACCGATGCAAAGCCCGTAATGCAGCTCTATAAACAGCCCTTTAAATCCCTAAAATTCCGATCAGTGGAACCTATACTAAAAGCACTATGAAGCCTCAAAGCACCCGGCAGAAGCCTCTTGCGCAAGGCCTCCTCAGGAGGTTGCACAAGGCTTCTAAGGCTTAAAGGGTTTCAAGGGCTGCTCGGGCTTTTAAGTTTAGAGTTTCGAGCTTAGGGCTTTAGGAGCTTTGGGTTGGAGGTGTAGGGTTTAACCATCAGGTCTTCATGCAGCTCTGCAGTAGGGTTTAAGCAGGGTTCGGTAAAGGGTCGGCATTGTGGCTTGAGTCGTTGGGTTTAGGGTTTACGGATTCTCAGGACCGTTTGCAGGGCTTTCAGGATTTAGGGTCTGGATTTGAGGGGGCCACGAGGCATCGTCTTGAGGTGGTTGAGGGGTTCAGCTTATCGAAGTCTGATAGAGCCCTTAGAGAACCCTTCTAAATACAAAAGACCTTTGTTGTGGGTTCAGAGCTTTTGGTGGATTGGAAGATTCTTTTGTCATTGAATCACGGGGGAGCCCTCAATAGATGTTTGAGACTTCACTCAACTCGTCCTAAATCCCATGGTGATTAAGGTTGGGTTTAAGGTCTGTTGCCAAAGTGCCTTTCTCCAAAGCAGTTACGCCTGGAAGGGGTTCAGGGCTTGCCTCTACGGGTTGAGGGTGCAGGGTTTGAGTCTTGCTGAAATCCTCCCAAATGCTGCTGGTCGCCGGTCGGTTTTGGAACTAAGCTTCATGATACAGTGACGAGCGACATGCAGCACTGAGGCGCGGTCCAAGCAAAACACGGGAGCCGCTGCTTCTACCTGCGTCTTCAGTGGTCTCTGCTGTAGTGACCCTAGCCCTTTTTATCCCTACACCTCGAATCATTGCACATGGTCTTCGACCTTTGCAAACGCTGCAACTCTGTCCCCACTCTCGACCCTCCATCTGCAAAAACCATGGGGCCTACTCGCAGAAGAAATCTCTTACCCCTCCGATCCCCAAATCCGCTATTACTACGGGGTTTTGACCCTAAACTATCCTATCTAACTCAGCCGTAAAGCACTCAACAACACCCAACTAGCACTCGGAAAGCTTGGAATCCCGAGCCCTTCGGTGCCACGGTTTAGGGTTTAGGGTTTGGGGTTTTAGGGTTTTGGGGTTTAGGGTTTTAGGGTTTAGGGGTTTTAGGGTTTAGGGGTTTTAGGGTTTATAGTAGAAGCCAGAAAGTTGGAACATAATTGCCCTCATACCCTTAAGGTAAGGTAGCATTAATCCTCCTGAATCCATGTTCCAACTTTCTGGGGTTTCAGGGTTTAGGGTTTTAGGGTTTTAGGGATTTTAGGATTTTAGGATTTAGGGATTTTAGGATTTAGGGATTTTAGGATTTGGGGTTTGGGGTTTAGGGTTTTGGGGTTTTAGGGTTTAGGGTTTACCTTCGGTGGTTCGGCTCCCGGCCCCGGTGCGAAACTCCTGCAACGTCAAGGTGCCATCCTGCGGCTCTCACTACTTATAGGTATATGAACACGGGTAGTTATTAAGGGTTCCTTTCCAGGGATCTAAATGAATGAGGGTAGTTATTAAGGGTTCCTTTAAAGGGATCTATATGAATATGGGTAGTTATTAAGGGTTCCTTTAAAGGGATCTATATGAATGAGGGTAGTTATTAAGGGTTCCTTTAAATGGATCTATATGAAAACGTGTAATTATTAAGGGTTCCTTTCAAGGGATCTATATGAAAACGTGTAATTATTAAGGGTTCCTTTCAAGGGATCTATATGAAAACGTGTAGTTATTAACGGTTCCTTTAAAGGGATCTATATGAAAACGTGTAGTTATTAAGGGTTCCTTTAAAGGGATCTATAGGGATTCTATAAGGGTATAGGGAGTTCAGGGCTATAGGTATATGGGAGTTTCCGAAAACTACGGGGGTATGTAAGGATTCCTTGAAAGAGTTACTATAAGGGTACTATCAGGCTTCCTTTAAAGGGATCTATAAGGGTTTAGAGTTTCCGAAAAATGGGCGCATCTTTTTTGGGGGACCTATAATGAAGGTACTGCGCCGGCTCCTCCTGTTTCTTCTCCTCCTACTGCTACTACCACCACCACGACAACTGCTGCTACGACCACGACTGAGACTACGACCGCCACTGTGACTGCGACTACACCGACGACGACGGCGGCGGCGGCTCCTACTTCTACTACTACTACTACTACTACTCCTACTACTCCTACTACTCCTACTACTCCTACTACTCCTACTGCTCCTACTCCTACTCCTACTCCTACTACTACTACTACTACTACTACTACTACTTCTACTGCTACTGCTACTGCTACTGCCACTGCTACTGCGACTGCTACTTCTCCAACTCCAACTCCAACTCCAACTCCAACTCCTGCTGCTGCTGCTGCTGCTGCTGCTGCTGCTGCTGCTGCTGCTGCTGCTGCTGCTGCTGCTGCTGCTGCTGCTGCTGCTGCTGCTGTTGCTGTTACTGCTACTGCTACTGCTACTGCTACTGCTACTGCGACTGCTACTGCCACTGCTACTGCTACTGCTACTGCTGCTGCTGCTGCTGCTGCTGCTGCTACCAGCCCATCATCCCTGAACCTTGAAAAAGGCCCAAACCCACACTTGGAACCCGCCTTGTTCTCATCCAGCATTTCCTTAGCAGGGAGGGTGTGTCTCAAGGTGGCCGTGTGTGGCTGCAAGCCTCTGCGGCTTAGCCCGAATCTCGAACCCAGGGTTTGCCAATCAAACTTCTCCTAACCTGTCGGCCGACAGTCTCGGCGCTAGACTCAAATTCTGTGGGCTTTTCTGACACCAAGGCAGCAGCTTACAGCCCGTGATACGTGCAGCGTATGTATGAGCACGAGCTCTCGGTTGCGAGGGCTCGAGTTGAATTCATAACATGTACATCCAACTGTTGTCATATTGAAAGCAGCTGGTTCAAATGGCTCTCGTTGGCCAGGTAGCCCAGCCAATAATGAGCATCCTGGCTTGTCTGGTTCAGCTCCTCACTATTCCAGACAGCATCGTGCACGTTGCGCTGTGCAACTTGCAGCAACGGCCGGATGGTTGCCAGCGTCGGGGTGAACAAGGGCGTCAAGATGGTGCAGACCAGCCGCCACGTCATCGCGTAGCCGAGGAAGGTGTGGGGCGAGCCTGTACGACGAGATTTGTATTCGTCTACACGGTCCTACACAGCCAACTCACTTGGCGCACGGATTCGGTTCACATCGAGCACCACTCCAAGCAGGCATCATGCAAGTGAAACCATGCCGCACTCAGAGTGAGCCGGGTTCAGGGTTGGCATGACACAGGCACTCTGAGATCGCCACTCAAAATGCCCTGAATGCGGTCATATGTCAACGAAACAAAGTTCGAAGCCTCGAACCGCTATACCGCACAAGCCGCGACACCCTAGGCTCTAGACTCTAGCAACTCCGGGCCTTCGGCTTCAATCACAGTCTTGAAGTCGTGAATCATGCGGATGTGCCCCTCCTGAGGAGAACAGGATCAGGACTACAAAGGTCTCAGGTTGCGTTTACGTCTCGAAGCTTCAGGATTGACGATGTCTTACAGTGCTCGGCTTCAGTGTAAGTCTGGAGCGGCTTGCTGAAAATGGGCGGGTAAGGCGAAACTGAACACACAAATGCCAAATCCTGTGTTCTCACATGACTGCCGCAAAGAAATTTCGCTTGCAAACGGAAGCAGTGCAGAAACACTTCCCGCAAAGAAGCACGCAGAAGTAGTCCTGTCGCAGTGCTTCCTAGTTACCGGTCCTCTCGAGAAACTTCAGCAAAGGACTCGAGATGGATGCGTGTCGTCAGTTCCAAATTGAAACAAACTGGAGGAAGTCAACTCAATCAAACCCTTGGAACCACACCTGCAAAGGAGGACAAAGGGCAACAGAAACAAGGCCAAGCCCTGCAACATAGGCTTGGAAACCGAAATAAGCCCCGAAATAAGCCCCGAAGCTTTGACAGAGAAGAGCACTCAGCATCAGACTATTAACTATGAAAAATTAACGTTTAACTGTTAACGATTAACTGCTACCTATCAGCTATTGACTATTACCTATTAACCACTAACTATGAACTATCAGCTATCAGCTATCAACTAGTAACTATTGACTGGCAACGATTAGCTATTAACTATTGACTATTAACTATTCACTCTTAACTATTGGCCATTAACTATTGACTAGTAACGAATAAGTAGTAGTTATTCACTATTAACTGATAACTGCTAATTATTAACTATTAGCGATTAGCCATTAGCTACTTTTTCGCTGTTGGCTATTAACTATCAACCGTTAACTCTAAACTATTAGCTATTTACTATTAGCTGTTAACGATTAGCTAATAACTATCAACTATTAACTAATAAACATCAGCTGATTGATCATTCACTATTAGATATCTATTGAACATATTTTTTCCATAGTCTATTCCCCTGTATCTATCATCTATTATCTATTGACTATAATATTTATAACTCGTACTGTTTTTACCGCTCTGCTAGAGTTACGTTCATCCCCGGCTCGCCTCGTACCCATGCTCTCGCCAACTTTGCGCGCTCAGCTCATCCAGCTGCGTCAACATCTTCAGAAAGAGCTCATTCACCTATAAGACTCAGGATTCGGGGGACCTTTGGGAAGAAAGACCCGCTCAAGAGGGATCCACCCTGGGAACCGGTGGGGGCTTGAACTCAAGCTTGGAGGGTTTGGTAAGCGAGAGGCACTTTAGAGGCTCTTTGAACCAGCGACGAATCCGTCGAGGCTTCAGTGTCCAGATTCGGTACCTTCCAGACCGCTTTTTGGCGGCGCAGGAAGTAATCTGTCTTTGTTGTATATTATGCTTCCCACCCTGTTCTCGCCCAGAACCCGAAGCTCGCAAAACACTCGTCCCAAGTCCCCCAAACCGAGTCAAAGAGACAACGAATGTGACACTCACCGCCGTCTGGGGTCGAAGCGTGGTTGTTGTTGTTGCTGTTGCTGATTCTGTTGCTGATTCTGCTGTTGTTGCTAGTGCTGCCAATGCTGCTGGTGCGGCTGGTGGTGCAGGTGGTGCTGCTGGTGCTGCTGGTCCTGCTGGTGGTGCTGGTGGTGCTGGTGGTCCTGCTGGTGGTGCTGGTGGTGCTGGTGGTGCTGATGGTGCTGATGGTGCTGCTGGTGCTGTTCTTTAAAATGACCAGAGATTGTGCAAATGGATTCAACTGATTAGGTTTGGGGATGCTTCGAGAACCAGTCCTTTGCCGGATTCGTGAACGGCTGCTGTTTTCAACTACCATTACAACTTCTCCTACCACCAGCACTAGCATTCGCACTAGCACCAGCACAACCACGCTACCAGTGCGCACGGCCAACCCTCCACCACATCCCGCACCAAATCTCAAACCACACCCCCCACCACACTCCGCCTCCCTGGAAACCTTGTCCGTCAGTTACTCTCGACCACTACCACCACCAGTACGCCACCCCTGCCGCGACCAATACCTTACGCGTGGTTAGTAGGGAATGGAGGAATGGGGTACAATCATAACTGCTCTTACTACAGTACCGTTCTTCCATTCCTTACTAACCAAAGGTAAGATACCCCTATAAAACCCCATTAAACCCTATAAACCCCTATAAAACCCTATAAGAACCCTTTGCCTCAGAACCCGACCGGGTTTAGCCTGCTTGGGCCTTGGAGTTCCCCGAAAGAGGCAGAAACTCCGGGAACTGAGCGCTGAGACGGCCGAGGAGTGTTCGCGGAGCAGGTACACTAAGAGCTACTAAGGAGCTACGAAGGGCATAGGTCTTCAAAAACCTTTTAAACAACCGAACATGCTATGATTTTTTTCAAAACCTATGATGCCGAGACGACATTGCACTAACCGTACCTACCACCAAAGGACTCTGGGATTTCAGCTTCTGCTTGATGGCCAAAGCAGACACGCGATTCATACAGGTGGGTGCAACATGGGAGTTTCCGAAAGTAGGGGACCCTAATATAATCCTTATTATCAGGACCCCTACTAAGGTCTCCCTAATTGTCGGGAACTCCGACATGGAGAAGCCATTGCAATTACCTTGCTTCCACATGCCCACCTTGATGCACACGTTCGATAGATACATAAAAATACCACCAAAGGTCAAGGTCAAAGCGAAGGCCATGGCAGAATGCAATCCTTGGTAAGTGAAGTTATGCTGATTCTGGTCGTAACATAGCCAGCTCGCCAACAACTGCAGGGCACAGAAGAACATGGTCACCACGCATATGCCCAGCACAGCATCTGAGCCAAACTGCTCATCCAGAAAATCAATTCGAGCGTAATGCCAGTGTTTTAACCAGTCTTGGAAGGTTTCTACTTCCTCCCCGTGATCCAGCGCTGGTAGTCGGGAGGTCTCTGTTGTCAAGGAACTAATGTTGCGGACAACGGTATCGCGCCGATCGCCTGTCCGTCCCGCCACTGGCATGCTCTCTCTTTCTCGAAGTACGTTCCGACGTTCATCTTGGAGGAGGGGCCGTTTTTCATCTGCGAACGCACGTGGGAGCTTTGCCAAGACGTCCTTCATGATGTCCAAATTCCCCTCTATAGCAACGACCTGATCAAAGATGGTTCCGAACATGCCATGCAGCACGAGAAAAAGCCCAACTCCACTGAAGAGCCTGGCCGCGCAGAGCGAGGTCCAAAAGGCAGATGAACTGAGATCGTGGCCATGGCGGTCGATTGCAACACAAATCAGCACAATCGACACTCCGAACCGGACCGCCGCGATGGGAAAGGGTATCAAACACCACCAGGCCCATCGTGCAGCAAGCGGGAGATGTTCTGCATGCTTTCTTGGATTCTCAGGAGCGTCGCCCCTGTAGCCAAGTGCAAGACGCAGCCGGTTCTTTTCCTTGCGCACCTTCTCTTTTGCATGCGATAAGCGTACCGTCAGCACAAACACCATACATGCCAACTGGTCGCAATTCGGCGAGATTGGGTCAATGCCATCATAAATGTAGAGGGTCTCTCCTGCCGTGCTTAGCGTGTACATGTAGCTGAGGAGGTTGACCTGCACCGGGTGCGAAAGGAAAGGGATAAACCTCCTCCAACTCAGGTCTACGCCCGGGAGAGCGACAAAGAACGGAAACGGATGTTATTCCTAAACCCTCATCCACGGCCCAGTGGCTTGATCAATGACTGTTCCACCGACACCAATCCAAAAGAGTAGATACCAGTGATTCCGGTTCTTGCAGTACTCGCCCAAGTGGACAATGAAGTATCCTGAGTAGTGCACCAAATATGCTTCCTAATTGATCTATGTTGTTTACTCCTCGCAGGCTTTGCAAGCTGATTCACCTTGCCCAAACATAGTCTAAGTATCCAAGGCCTATTCCTCCAAAGACGGGCACGCCCATGCTAGCGATCGCCAACAGCTCAGCCATCAACGCTGCCTTCACTTCATTCAAGCTCCTGTCCTCGTCATCCTTATCATCCGTGATGGAAGTCACATGCAAACACGCGCACAGACCACACTCACGGAGTATCGCCAGAAGTGCCAGCAGCAGGTGGACATAAAGAACTTGAAAGCATTCTTTGAACATCCCTCCGGGGCCTCACTTTGGAGGCCTCCAGAGCCCTCTGTTAAGAGCTTAGCAACAAACTGCCTGAGCAAGAGAGTGAACGCGGGGATGCGTGGCAGCTGGAGAGCACGGTCCTGCTTCTGTTGTAGCAAAGACTCCAGATTTTGAGTCGGGAGTTGGCCGTTCACCCAAACATCGGGTCGGGTGCATGTCGGGTTTGAGGTTCAGGGCCGAGGGTTTCAGTCCCTGGAGACTACGTCGTTTAACTACAACTTGCCAGACTTTAACAGGATGTGCTACAGCATGCTCTACCATCCCATGCTGTGCTGTAGGTCTGTGCTGTTGGCATCCGTAGCACGTTGAAGTTGAGAGGGATGTTGGCACAGAGTCACTCACACAACGTCATGCACAAGCTCCATATCCCGCCTACTAATCAACTCTAACACTTCGGGGGTCGAGCGCAGTACCAAGAAGCCTTAACAGCAGCTATGTTCGGCCCGCAAAGCTAGAATTTGGAGGGTCGTGGAGACGATGTACACGAACTAAACCCCGGCTGCTTCAGAGGGACATTATCAGAGTTGGAGGTTGCAAGGTTCAGTATATAATCGCATACATGGGAATAGTCACGGCTTCTCTCATGCTCGACGATGCACCAGCCAGCTGTATGTGGTTCAACTTGTCTGGGTTTGGGGTTCAAGTTTTCAGGGTTTATGGCCTTTGGCGTGTAGGCTTTAACTGCAGGGGGTAGTCTGGGGTGCAGGGTTGCACCCGACTTTGGTGCAAATGCCAAGCGTCGTAGATCACGCGTCCATTCGCCTGGGTTGCGAGGCCTCGGGCGGATCTCTTGAAACATGAGCTACAGCAGAGACTGGAATAAGAGCAACAGTTATTGCACCTCGAACATCCCCACCGTAGAGATCAGGAATTGTGCTAACGCCCGCCCCACCCCCCACCCCCCCCCCGCCACCCCGTTCCACGGACTCTCTGGGATTGTGCACTGAAGGGGACTCAAGGCTGATGGTCTCTGTAGGTCGGGCACTCCAAAACCTCTATGGGGCACCATCATCATTATCGTCATGGCTATGGTCATTGTCGTCTTCAATCATCGTCCCGATGGCCATCTCTTTTAGGACCGTCATCATCATCATCATCCTCGTCATCACCATCGTCATCACGGTCATCTTGTTGTAGGGCCATCATCGCATTATCCACATCATCATGTTCATCTTCCTTAGATTAAACGCTAGGGTATGCTTTGCCAGCTCGGCTCAACTGCTTGCGGAAGATGGGTCCGGACAATCTGCATTCCAGGGTTGTAACAAGGAATGCGACAAAAAAGAGCAGACAGCAGCGGAGTAAGCTAAAACTACAGCAGAAATTGCTGGAAGACCTACAGCAACCGAGAAAAATTGAGAAAACCTGTCTCCACGCCGCCAAGCCCGAAACTCTAAATTGGCTTCCCAAGCCCCCTCTCGGCCCTGCTCGGCACACAAACACCCCAGCTGCAGCATCAAACCAAGACATATACCCCTGGATCCTAAACCCTCCGAAACTTCACATACATCCTGACCCTAAATCCCCAAACCCCTAAAACCTACATCCCCAAACCCCTAAATCCCCAAGCCCCTAAATCCCCAAACCCCTAAAACCTACATCCCCAAACCCCTGAATCCCCAAACCCCTAAATCCCCAAATCCCCTAAAACCCCAAACCCCCTGAAACCCCCCAAACCCCTGAATCCCCAAACCCCCCTAAAACCCCTAAAACGGAAAAAGCCAAGGGGCCCAGCTGCGCCAGGGCAGCGGACCACTCCGTGACGTTCAAAGGTCGCGTCACCTTTTTTTTCGGGGCTCTGAAGGCTGGAGGGTTTTGGGGTTTAGGGGTGTAGGGGTTTTGGGGTTTAGGGGTGTAGGGGTTTAGGGGTTTAGGAGTTTAGGGGTTTAGGGGTTTAGGGGTATTGGGGTTTATGCAAGCAGTCACTGCTGGGGGGTTTAGGGGTTTAGGGTTTAGGGGTTTAGGGGTTTAGGGGTTTAGGGGTTTAGGGTTTGCTGGGCTCCCTTTACAAGGGTTCTTTTAAGGGTGACTATAAGGGATCAAAAAGGGTAGTATAATGTAGGGGTCTCAACAATTTGAATAGGGTTCCCGGTTAAGGGATCCTTTAAGGGTTACTATCAAGGATACTATAAGGGTAGTATGATATAGGGGCCTTACTAAGTAGAATAGGGTTGTTGGGGCCCGTTATACTATAATAAGGAGCCACCAAAAGAGTATTGGCAATTGTTTCGGGCCCGAGATTAGGAACCGAGGCTTGAGGTTTGGGTTGAGGATGGTTGGGCGCTTCGGGTTTAGGGTTTAGGGTTTCGGTTGAGGGTTTAGGGTATTTAGGAAAAGGGCTCTTGGGGTTTTGGACTTGTAAGGCTTGCTCGGGTCTCGGAAGGCTTCTCGATTTCAGCTACATCCGCCGCTTTCTTGGAGTTCAGGGCTCAGGGCGCAGAGACGCAAGTTTAAACTGAATCAAAAAATAATGAGGATGAAAATAAGAGCAATGGAACGAACAAGCGCAATCAACAATCCTCTGCAAACGTAGATCGCCGAGGAATGAACCCAGCAAACGTCAAAATAGCAATCATAATAACAGTCATGGAGATGATAATCACAATAATAACAGTAATAAGATCTATATAATAATGGCAATAATAACAATAATGACAACAATAACGATAATAACAATAGTAAGCAAAGCCTCACACCCCACAGTGTCGCCTTGGACACGTAGCTGTCGATCTCAAGGAAGGCCTCCTGTGGTGGCTGTCATGGGGACGACGAGTATTGGGGCCTTAATAACTAGAATATTGTTTTGAGGCCAACTAGCCCACTATACTCTAGCGATAATAAAGACCCCCAAAAAATAAAATGTTGTTGGCAATCATTTAGGCCCCGATATTACTACCCTGGCGACCTTTTGAGAGTGCGACCGCACGCGTGAAACCGCTCCTGTGTCTGAAGGGTACCCATTGCACAGACCAACAAGCTGCAGCAATGTCTGATTCCCCGACGCTCGGGGAAACCCACCAGCGCAGTACTCTCAAAAGATAAGTCCTCTGAAACTACCAATCCCCTCCCTGCAGCAATGCAAGAAGGATAGTGAAATTGTCGCTGGGACCTCGATGTTGGGCCACTTTTGCAGCAGCTTGCGTCGGAAGTCGTGGATGGGAGTTCCCTCGCAACCCCGCAGGCTCAAGCAACTTGGTTTCGTGGATGACATGTGTTCTGCTGAATGATACGGATATGTAGTACATAATACACTTCATCATTAAACCACCATGGATTCAGCTGCTTAACAGAACCCATTTGATTTGACTGTCCCTCCGTGGAAGATTTTGTAGGTTTCAATCTCGCAAGTAGGGCATGGACTTTGGTGAGTAAAACGCTGTATAAACCTTGGCAACTAAGCCATGTGCCAGGCAGAAGGATAGTGATAGTCAAAGAAAAAACCGCAAAACACCTGGCTGCATGTCTATGATGCCACTCATGGTCCATCCGGGACATTTGACAGGCTGGTGTAAGAACGAGACTTCAGGGCAAAAGGGTTTTGGAGCTCAGTTCACATCACAGTTGGCCCCCCTTCCGATTTTCGGACTTCAATACCCGAGCTTAGGGTTTAGGCGGTCGGCGGCTTACGGGACGGATTCGCACTCAGCCTGAACCCCCGCACACACACCACAACACCCAAGCTTCCAAATCGCAAACCTTCATGCCTGAACCCTAAACTCTTCAACCCTGAGGCCCCTACCCAAAGCCACAAGCCCGAAACGCAGCCCGAGCCTTCTGCCGCGAACCACGCTCGGGCCGCCTGGCGTTCCCGGGGCGTCTTAAGAGTTCGAAAGGTCTGGAGAATCACACTGGGATTATGTTCCAAGGGTCCTTACGTCAATGGTGCTAGCGCGGGGTTTTGGGGGGGAGGTCCCATTATGGTTTGAACTTCAAACCGAAAGTAAGCGCACTGAATAGAACACCTTTCTGTAGCCCAAAAGCCATGGCCCAAGCCCTGCTATCGCATGAGCATCTTCTGTCTGGCTCCTAGAATATATAGGGACTACTATTTTAGGGTTTAGGGTTTAGGGTTTAGGGCTATGGGGATCCATTCCCCCATTCCCTACCAAGTACCACACAGTTTTTGCCAGGAGCCCCACAAAGCAGAGCAAAGCGGACTAGAAAGATTGATGGGGTCCCTGTTCGGTCTGCGCTCCCTCCTCGGCTTTGCCAACTCACATGCATTGCACTGCACACAGTACCCAGAGACTCCAATATCCCTTAATTAAGGAATATACCTTAAATTATAGTAGGATCCTTAATATGATTTAAGGAATATTCCTTAATTAAGGGATATTGGAGTCTCTGGGTATACAGTCAAGCATTGGAAAACGCAAGGCTGTGGCTTGGAAGGTTCAGCAGTGAGAATGTAACCCTAAACCCTAAACCCTAGGCCCTAAACCCTAAGTAATGCGTACGGTTTCTTCTGGAAACTACGGAAAACGTGGACTGCAACGGCGCCTTCTACCATCCAGCTACTGGCCGCTGATTCTGCTACTATTACGACTGCCACCACCACCACCACCACTACTAAAACTAAAACTACCACAACGACTACGACTGCGACTACGACTGCCAAGGCCACTACCACTGCCCCTGCCACTACGACTACGACTACTGCTGACCTGCTGCTACTACTACTACGACGACGACTACTGCTACGACGACGACGACGACGTCTACAACGCCCACTATGTCTACTACTGTGTCTACTGTCTACTTTCTTCGGTTTTCATGCTCCTTGTATTTCCTTCTTCCTACTTCATCTTCTACTTCTACTCCTACTTCTGTTCCTGCCTCTGCTGCTCCCACACTCCTTCTGCGGCCACCATGTTTGGAGTTGCGGTTTAGGAGTTTGGGGTTCGGGCGAGACCTCAGTTTGGACATCTTTGTTCCCCGCTGGGCCAGGAAAGCGATGTTCCGTGAGGATTTCCGGCTTGGACCCGGATCTGAGAGGACCTGGATCTGAGACTCCCGGAATACAGCCCCTAAACGAGAATTCTGCTAAGGAGGATGGCTTTACAGTACCAATCCGCTTTCTCACAGTTGGCTACGAAAGGACGGCGCCGGTTGCTTAGATGTTCGTGTCGGGAACTTCAAGCCCTGAACTCGATTCATCTACCGCCTGCCTCTGCAGCCTTGAACACATCGAGGTAGCATCCGGAGAAGCCCAGGTCCAGCTTCCACTATCTTTGTACATCTGGAGGGCTTCACCGCCCAGTCCGGCAAGAGTTCTTGGGCTCCGTGACTGCGTGAGTCAGGTTAAGTGGTTTGGGGCTTCTAGACACAAAGATCGGAAAGTGCCGATGCAAGGATGCTGACACTACGAACATGTCCACTGAGTGCGGCAGTAGATCGGTCTAGAAGGTGTCAACCTGACATTTTCGATTTAAACATTTGCAAATTTGTTACACTAGTTTTGGAGATGTGAACATGTTTCATATTCTAACAGCTTTCGCTACTGACGCAGGTCCTAAACCCTGAGACCTAGAGTCTCAAATCAAACTAGGCCCCAAACTCTCAACCCGCTAAGCCGCCAAGCCCCTGAACTCCAAAGTAAGCCCTAAACGCTCAAAGGCCTCTATGAACCCAACCCTTAAACCCCGTTAAGTCCCAAACCAAGCCCTGCAACTGGAAGTTGGGGAGAGTCCCTGGCAGTCACCGAGGGCCCGAAGGTCTCAAAGTCTCATTGCCCACCTGTCGGGTGTGAAGCTTTGCTTGCTTTGCTTCCCTAAACCCTAAACCCTAAACCCTAAACCCTAAACCACTACAACCCCGGGAGGTGTTGGGTCTGCAGGGTTTAGGGCTTGAGGGGCTGTGGGGGCTTTGGGCTGCTGGGCCGTGCAGACTCCTTCGGCTTGGTCTGTGCTTCGGAAACCCTGGAATGATGGTCCCTTCTAGGGTCCTTTGGTGCGAGGCTACTCCCTCCTTCAAGGCCCAACTTAGTCCCAAAGCTCATGGGGCCACAGGCACGGCCTCATCGGATAAGAAAGATGGACTGCTGCAAGGCCAAACGCCCGTAGACTGGAATCTCCTACTTAAGATCGAAATCCAACGTCTCCTCTTCCTGTTTCGAAGGAGAGTGGTGCTCATGATCACTGCGATCTCCGTGACTGAAGCAGTCATCAATGTCAGAATCAACACCGCCATCAACCTTATGCAAGTCAAGTTCATGGCCTACAGAAGCGTCAGGCATAACCCCTGAAACCGTAAACCACTGTACCCGAAACCTTTACCCCTAAAGCCGTACAAGCACGGCACATGCCTGCCACAGCAGCTGGCTCAAGGGAATCACTGCTCTCATCGAGTCGTCCTCGCTTTGCTGCCAGAGCGCTTTGGCGGCTACGGTTGGGGGGCTAGGGGGTCGGGGCTTAGGTTTTAAGATTACGCAAGGTTTCGGGTAGGGCTGAGGGCGGTTGGGTGGCTTAAGGCTCAGGGATCGACCAGTGCTGGGTAATCTGAGCAACTTATGACAGTGTAGGGTTTACCTGCCCAAAGGACTACTTCTTGGGCTGTCGTTCTTAGCATTGCATTTCTGTTGGCTACAGGTGAGGTAGGGAGGTTTACGGCGAAAATGCCGCCACAGCCAACCGGCGTCCCCACAGCTCCTCCTGCATTTGTCAGGATTGTGGGGTAACGGAATTAAGTTAGGGATTAGGGTTTAGGGATAAGGGTTTCGGAAGACAGGAGCCCTTGACAGTAGGATCCCCACTCTAAGGGCCCACATGCAAGGGCACCCAGTTATCTTAAGAGAACCCAGATGGGTAGTTGTCAAAATGATGGTTCCTTTTGGGGTACCCTAAATAATAGAGGGAATACTAGGTGCCGTATTATAATAGGGACCCAAAAAGGAACCCTAATTTTGACAACCACCCAAATGGCTTCTAACGTTCAGGGTGTACCCTGGGTACTGCCCTCATACAGTAACAGTCTATAATAGGCCTACTCATTAAGGTCCTAATAAAGCTATATTATGAATAACCCTAACCCTAAACCCTAATATAGCTATATTACCCAACTGTTACTGAGTGGGGGCAGTATCCAAGGTGTACCCAGCCTCCCGGCACCAGCTGCACTGCCACCGGTGGACGGCAAAGCTCCGAGGAGTCCGGAGCACGGCGGGATCCTGGCACCGAACTTTAATATCTGATATAGAATATATAGTATATAATATATAATATATAGTATAATACATAATATGTAGTATATAATGTATAATATATAGTATACTATATATAATAAAACAAAATGTACTGAGGTCAGCACTCGGTGGTGTTGGTTTTGGTGTCGGACATCAAGTGGGGCCGAAGTAAGCCCAGATGCACCTGAAGCCTAAATCTGAACCTTCTGCCCCCTCCCGTTTGGACATCGAACTGCTCTGACAGAATCGACCCTACTCTCTCCCCTCCCGGTGCGCCGGGTTTAGGCTTTAGGACCCTTAGGGTTCCTTTAAAGGGTACCATAAGGGCTCCTTTAAAGGATCTACAGGGGGTTCAGGCTTTAGGGTTGGGGGCCCCACCCCCCCGCAGGGAGGTCCTGCAGCGAATGCTCCAGTGCCCCGCAAGCCATGAGAAGCGCCTGGGCATCGTTCTTTAAGGCTTCGGGTTTGCGAATAGAGTAATATGGGGGGCCTGACTAATTACCTGTACTGTTTTGGTGGTTTCCTTAGTATAATTATGGTACAATAGGCCCCGCAACCATATTCGAATTATTAAGGCTCCTAGATTACTCGAAGAAGCTTCACTAAGACACACTTTGAGTAAGGGGCCCCCTGCCCCCAAACTGTTTTCTGCCTTGTGTGTCGTGCCAGCGGGAGCAAGGCTTCAAGGGCCTACCACGCTCTACACTCACACTGAACAGCCGAAACCCCAAATGCTAAACCCTGAACCTGTCTGAGAAGCCGAATGATACCATTCGTGGTTGGAATAAGGTTGTGGCCTATGCTATGAGTATAGCCCAGCCGAGGAACCTCAATCTCAAAACTCCTCAAATGAATTCTCCTCAAATCGTATGCCCTGTACGGTTCAAGTTGCGGTCTTGGAATCATACAAACAAACTTGTCCTGAATGAGTAAGCTGTTTACGGGGTGTCGGTTCCAGTGTTTAAAGCTAGGACAAGGTACCGAATGCAGGTGCCTTCAGAACTAGACTATGGTTGTGGCGTGAAAGATGCAAAAGAAATACGGGAAAAGGGGAGCTGAAGTGGCTAAAGAGGATATTGGCACTAACGATCGCCTTCCACTGCAATGATCAGGGCCCATACTTGGAACAACCCCACGTCACAATCCGAGGAAGTCGCAAAGTCGAAAGTCCCCCAGGAATCCTTGGCTGCCTGGACCTGGACCCCTGGTCCCTAGGGTTTAGGGTTAGGGTTTACACCCCTGGTTCCCTGAACCCTTACCCGGCCTTCCGCTGCTCCGAAAGCAAGGAATCCAGCGTGCCGTAGTCGGAACAGGCCTTTGCCTGAGCATCTCGAGGCCGTCATGGTTTGCGGCTGAGGGTCGAGGGCTCCTGCTGTCTTTTCTTGACGACATACTATACTATACCAACATTACAAGCGATGGGCAGGTACGACCTGGATGTGGGGCTAGTGCTCTGGAGCTTGAGGCTGAAGTTGTAGAACTAGCCTTGGGTTCTCGGGTTTTCTGGTGCAGGTCTCGGGTTTGGGATTTAGTGGCACGGAGTCTTCAAGTGGGAATTCGAGCTTCCCGGCTTCGACAAATCCCAAGCTCCACACTCAAAGCCCTAAACACCAACCCTAAAAGCTCCGGAAACGCCCCAAAACCCGTAATCGCTGAACCATTTGTTGTGGCTTTCGTCCTGTTGTCGGGCATGCGCTCACTTCAGATTACCTTCGATGGCAAACCCGTGGCCAGCCCTAAAACCCTGGACCCATCTCATCAAAGCACGGCGTTGCAGAAGCTCCATTGGCTCCCTGAAACCTTTTACCCGAGACCTCTACAACCGCGCGGGCTAGAATCGCAAAAACCCGAAACCCTACTACACCCTGCAACGCTCAAACCCAACATCCCAAGCCCTACACCTCCGGAACTGCCGAAACCTCCCCCTGCAACGCTACAAAAGAACCCAGAACCCTAAAACTCTCCCACCCAGCCCCCCCCCCCCCCCCCCGATCAAGGCTGACACCATATTCCCAGCGTTCCAGAGTGCAAGCTGGGGCGAGAAGAAATCCTGATTTCGATGGTGTTCCTTGTTTCTTCTGGGGGGGGGGCAGGGTTTAGGGCGTGCCTGCGAGTTTCTGTGAGCCTATCGACGCACCCGCCCAAAGATCATCCACTTACAAGTCTCAATGTCTGGAATTTTTGTCACATGGTTCTTGTTCCTTCCCGCCCCTCCTCTTTGCATTAAATGCGAAACCTTGATTGCACTCGGCCATCGGGTATTCGCATCGCCAGTCTTGGACGGAGTTGCATGTTTGTGTTTCGCGCTCGCAGCGGCATCACTTCTGCCATCCTCTACCTGTGCTCTGAATCTGTCTAGGACGTAGTGGATGATACAAGTTTTCGCTGATTTCTGCCACGTTCGCAAACTTCGCCCCTAAAGCTGAAACACATCAAATCCAATTTCGGGCATGAGCAGTTGGAGGAGTGCTCTTGGACTGTGATACGAGCTGCGAGGCTCAGCAAGGTTTGGCGTTCGAGCCGGCCTTCTTGAGAGGGCTCGGCCGCTTTAATGCCTGTTCTAAAACGAACACCGTATTGTTCTTCTAGTTGTTGACACATGAACATCTGGCATATGGCATATGATATGCATAAACGGTACTTGATATGATATACATGACAGATGTGACATGGTATGGTATGACATGATATGGCATGACACGGTATGATATGGTATGATATGACATGGCATGAGATGACAGGATTGGATCTTGCAGAATATGATATGACATGTTCTGACATTACATGTAATGATCCGGTTGGACGCTACCTAGAATGACGAAACTCAGTGAGATATGTCACGTCATCTCTTTCTGGCTTGAAGGGCTTCGGGGTTCAAATCAGTCCGTATCTGAAGTACAAAGGCATCCGTGGCCTCAGGGGCTGCGGAGTTCAGGCTTTAGGGTTTAAGGGCTGAGGGTCCAGGGCTTGCCCAGGGTTCAGGGGTCAGGGCTTGGTTTTGGGCCTTGGGGGACTTGAGTTTGCATGCAAACTGACCCTCGATCGCTGCAGCCAAACCACAAAGGGCAGCCGCGCGACGCAGCCGTCCCTGGAGAGAGTCGCGGTGATCGGATTGCTTTAAAGAGGTACTTTGCCCTTGACAGTCAGAACATGTTGTTGGACACATCGTCGCACGCGGGAGATTCCTAGCAAGGTTAGGGTGGTTATTCTGTCGAGCCCTTTCCCAAATTCCTGACCCTGAAATCCTCGTAGCGATTCCTAGCTTGAGTTTAGGGTTCAAACACCAAATCCCTGAAACTGAACCCTTCTTGAGAGTCGTCGCATGGCTCCATCTCTGCAGAATTAGCGAGGCATAGCATTCATAAATCCCGTGAAGGCAGGACCCTGCTTAGCATCCTTATCCTGGCAAAAGGGGAGGTCACTATTCAAGCGTCGACATGATTCTGCCATGCTTTGATGAAGATAATGTGAAATTTTGGATGTGTATCGGCCGCTGCTGGTAATGGTAACTACTTGCTACAGTTACTACCTACTACCTACTTGCTACAATTACTACCCACTACCTACTTGCTACAATTACTACCCTACTACCTGCTTTTGGGGACTGAAGGACGATACCCTGGCAGGAGCGCACCTAGCGCAGCCCGGCTGCCTGCCCAAGACAGCTTTCGGGATCCGGGCGTCAGATTCGACCGGAGCTAAGGCAGTAAGTTATAAGTCCCCTAATATGGGTTATAAGTATAGTTACCCTACCTTATAACCCTACTTATAAGTACCCATGAACCTCCAAGGGGTCACTGAGGGCTTCGGACCGAAAGTTTGAAGTGACGGTTTGGGAAGACGCTGAGCCCTAAACCCTGCTCAGCAAAACCCCGAATCCGCCAGGTATCATCGAGACTCGGTCAGCTGTGTGGACTTTGGAAACGAGACCGCCTGTGATGCTTCTGTTCGATACTATGATGATGACCGCGTTGAAAAAAACGACTACCACTACTACTTAGTACAAGAACTGCCGCCACTGCAATTTCTTGGGGCGGCCATCTGGTCAGCATCACAAGCACCTTCATCTAGATCATCAACATCGACATCCTGATCATGTTTGCCATGGCTGCCATCGAAAGATGTGCAACAACAGCAGCAAGGATGACGACAACAACCACAACAAACTCGCCATCATCCCGATGTGACCACAAGCAGCAGCCGACAGTCAGACCAGCCAGCCCAGTCTGGATCGGAACCTCATTCCCGAAGTGACAAGAAGAAGGCACGTGCGATGAAACTCCAGTCACCACACCAGCCAGAAAGTTGCTAACTCACAAAAGCAAACACCAAGAGACCGGTGTTTGGGCATTTGGACCCTCCACACTTCTCAGACAACATGCTGCGTGGAAGTTGTTGTATCAGCATTGCGCTCGCGAAGGCTCTTATCATCACCATCGCCCCTGCCACTCCATGTCTCCACAAGGTCGCATGATTGAGAACAACAATACACCGCTATGGAAGTTGCGCTGAGGAAGTGTCAGAATCTTCGACGCCTTAATCGATAAGGGCCCCTGACAGAATCGCATACTCCTTGTATGAGGACCGCTGAATAAGGTAAACCCTAAAAGAAAAAAACAAACACAGAATAAACCTATGGACTCCCCGAGTCCCTAACCGCAGGCCCTTCTTTAGAGATCTTCGGGCCTTTGTTGGTCTCGAAGTTTATAGAGGGCCTTAAGGCTTAGGGGGGCCTAAGGTCCAGGTTTAGGCCATGTCATATCGGATAGAGCTTTATGTAATATAGTACACTTTACTATGACTTTGGGTTCAGCTCCGAAGTTCGGCGTTTTTGGGCTTGGGTTTAGGGTTGAGGGTTTAGGGTTTAGGGGTCGGTTTAGGGTTAAGGGTTGAGGGTTTAGGGTTTAGGCTTTAGGGTTTAGTTTTGGGCCGAGGATTCCGTCCCGATCACCAGCCTCCGCATTCTCTGGAGGCTCAGCCGATCGATCCTGGACGGTGCCCCATGGCCACCGAAATCCCAAAAAAGGTTCGGGGTTTAGGGTTTAGGGCTTACATGACCACCAAAACACCAAAAAAAAAAGTTGAGACGACTGGAAGCCGAAGGCGTTTTTCGGGCGGGCTTGGGATGTAAGGTGCAACTCCTCCTGTGGGCACCCTGCTCCCTACCAGAACGGCACTCACTACGTCTTCTCTGATCGAAGTTCAGGATTGGATTGCTAGGACTCGAGGACTTGTAGCAAAGGCTTGGAGATTGAAGGGCCTCAACATGCAGGCTGGAACCCAACCCAGAAAGCTCTTTGTGCTGCATCTTTGAGGACACAAAAACAAGAAGCTACCCCTAACAAGTTCCAAGCTTCAAAACTTGATCGCCAAAACTCCTGCAAAAGCCATCAAAACTATACACCCGAAAACCCGAAAAAGCACAAACCCCTAGAACCCTAAGCCCTCCTCCCCCTCCCCCAAGCACACTGTAAAACCCAAAAATCCCCACAGACTTTCCCACCGAAGCTCAGCCGCGGCCCTGTGCACTGCACCGGGTCGGAACCGCAGTCCTTCCTTGGGCCCGGCCAGGTCGCTTGGCTTCGGGTGCATAGTCGTTCGTTGTTTAGGGCTTAGGGTTTAGGCTTCGTTGTTTTGGTTTTGTTTTTTTTTGGGGGGTGGCACCTTTTACCACCTGGCAGTTAAGGTCGGCAGAATCCACATTGTGGAAGGGTCTGGGTTTTAGGGTTTAGGGTACCAACCCCAGAGCCTCAACCCTAAAACCCCAAACCCCCAAACCCCTAAACCCCTAAAACCCCCTAAAACCCTTAAAACAAAAAAAAACCTAAAACGTAAAAAACCCAAACTCGAATCAGAGCCAAAGCGCCGGGTGAAGATCTCCTGGAGAACCTCCAACCTACGAGGCAAGGCAGTGGAGTCTTGATAGCTAGAATCAGGTCTTTCTGTTTACGGGCTCTTCGGAGGATAGGCTATATATATATATATGTAGATGATATTATATTATAGTAGTGCGCCGTACGGGATGTCGCTGCAAGCTGTTCAAACCTCTGTATTAGTCACGTTCACTTTGCGGCTCCGGGGCTTTGTGCAGTGCTCCAAGAAGGTTTCACAGGCTTTCTGTGGGGTTGCTATACTAGGTGTGGCTTTTAAAGCCTTTGAAAATTATTAGTAAATAAGATCCTCTTTAGCCCAATAAGGGAAAATATAAAATGTCCCAAAGCTCTACCTAGTATAGACTTTGGGGCTTCGCAGTGTGTGACAAGCCCGGCGGCACTGGAGTTGGAACTGCAGATCTCTAACATGACATGCAGCTGCACTAGTTGGTGATTTCCGAAAATGAGGGTGCCTTATTTTGGGGTCCTTGTAATAAGGATCCTACTATTTAGGGTACCATATTTGGGTCCCCTATTTTCAGAAACTCCCCGTTCTAACTCGACTTACAAAGTGTTCAGATTTTTTAGATACGGTTCATGGCGCTTTCCGCGCCAGGTTTCGGTGTACCGCGAAACCCAAAAGCTCTTGCCTCCTATGATGGGTCTGGGGTTTACTGGGAAGCTCAGCCCGGATGCGACACACCGCGGCTTCGCGCGTTAAGGCAAGGTCTAGGGCTTATACACCCTGAACCCTGAACGGGAAACACTCAAGCCTCAACCCTTCAATCTCTAGGCCTGCACCCCGTACACTCATTGCTAAGCTGCTCAATATTATTTGTTACGGCTACACTACAGCGCTTTTGCTTATAAACGGCCGAGAAGCCAGAAAGGATGTTTGGGCACACTGGCCATGACTGCATTGCTCACCTCAACGGCAGGAAGGTGCCGTAGATGGCTTTCAAGCGGCGCGAGGTGGCACGGCCCAACTTTTCTCAGTGTTTTTGGCGTGAGCCCGATCCTGAAGCTTGAAGCCGTACAACAGCATACCTCAACCACCACAGCTTCCAGAAGCTTCATGTAGCGACAAGTGGATGGAGCGTGCACTTCGTAGAAGAGCCACCCTTAAACCGAGTGTGCCCTGCTATTGCTGAACATGAACTGCTGCCAAGACGCCAATCGACCAGAGAGCCTGTCTGGGTAGGGCTCTCTAAACCCCCAACCCTAAAGCCCTAAAATCCTCACACCCTTACGACCCCATCCCGAAAGCCCTACACCCTGAACCCTGAACCCCAACACCCAAAACAGTGCTCACCAAACCTAGAATTTTGGGCGCTCGGCGAGCTGAAGGACCCAACTCCCTAAACCCCAAAACTCGTTTCCCCAGGGCCCGACCCTTCAAAACCTGACGGCCATCCGTCCCAAAGAGCGTTTTGATCCCGATTGACGTCGTGGGAGTTCGACACCAGCCGCGAAGCCTTTTCAAGAGTGAGTTGCCCTTTTGGCAGCATTCATAAGGGGTCTTGAAGCGTCTCTATACCTGAAATTGCTAAACCATCGGCACCCAAACCCTACACAAGCACGAAAGCCTCAGTCCCTGCGTGATGGAATCAATTGCCCAACCCTGAACCCCCAACTCAGAACCCGACAAAAAATTGTCGGCAATCACACATACTCCCTTACATGCTAAAGCAAAATCCATGATAACTAAATTCCGAACCCGAGTCTCCGCTTCCTTTGCCCTAAGCCCTTGAACCTGTCAGCCGGGATGTGAGCTGGCCAGCCCCTTCCCGGAGCCTCTTCTCCAAAAGCACGGAGTGCACGACGTTCTCCTGCCAGGAGAGCGCTTTTCGGGTCTGTGTTGTCTCATGGCAGCAGCCACCAAAAAACGAATGCTGATGCAACAAGACCGACACCGTGGATGCTCTCCGACTGGTGGCTCGAGTCACGGAGACAAAAACCAATACCAACATCGACAGAAGTAGCAGCAATGACAATATCAATAGCGGCAATTACGAGAGCCTACACAACTCTTTTCGCACTTGTAGCAACAATCATCGTCGTGCCCGCATGATAGCACGAGCAACCATACCACTGATAAACATGAACTCCGCAAAAGCACTTAAGAAGCATGACAGCAGATTCACCAGCGTCAATATGTCTTTGTTATCGGGCTTCTGCTTGTTCGTGCAACAGGCAGAGAGTAGGCTAGGAAAATAAACAGTACCATAAAAGGTCGGACGAAGGTAGCTAGCGTTGCAGACCTCTTCCGTAAGCACTCTCACTCGAAATTACAGATTCCCCCACCCACGTTCGGAGCATTTCTGCGAAACCAAAAGACCCTCACAAGAAAAGCCGAAGCCCTGAACTTAGAGCGAAAAATCCCTAAACTCCTAAATCCCCTGAAAGGCCATGAAACCCGGAAGCCCGAAACCGCCTACAAGGGTTTAGGGTTTAGAGTTTAGGGTTTAGGGCTTAGGGCAGGTCGTCCGAAAGTTCCGCACCTCACCCAGAAGCACGGCTTGCGAGGAGGCCTCCAGGGCCGGAGTTTCACGTAATGTAGGGGCCTTACTAATTAGAATAGGGCTCCCTTTGAAGGGATCTATATATCAGGGCTACTATAAGGGATGCTATGATATAGGGGCCTTAAAAATGGGAACAGGGTTTTGGGGCCATTACACTATAATAATAAGGAACCCCAAAACAATATTGGTAATCATTTAAAACATCAAAGTACTGATCCATTCCAGGTGGTGCTGCACCTACAGGACCAGGGAAAAGGCAGACGCAGCAAAACAAAACTGCAGCTAAGCCAACATTACCTTAAACTACCAGACCCTACTTTTTTGTAGGTTCTTATTATACACCCTAATATGGAAATTTATAGGGACCCTACAAAACAGTAGGTTTTGGTAGGTTAAGGCAGAGTTCAGGGCTTAGGGTTGATAGGCTTAGGCTTAGCGGGTTTAGGCTTTGCAGGTGCAGGGTTAATGGGTTTAGGGTTCATGGGTTTAGGGTTTGGGGATATAGTGTGAAGGATTCTTCCGCTTGTACGTTCCGGGGATGTGAAGCTTAGGGTATACAGGCTTGCCCTTTTTCCTGGTGGTAGCTAGTTTTACCAGGGTCTCTCAGCTAGGATACCCAGTAACCTAAGAATAAAAAGGCCTCTCTTTTTGGTATCGGGTAACTTTATAAGGAACCTAGGACTACAAAAAGGGAATAAGGGTACTACTGGGCATCCTAGTCAGGGTTCCGTACAGGCTGTTATGGGTTTTTGTCCTCAAGGTTTCGGGCTTCGTCGTTGCAGGCCCTGGATGAAAGCCCAAAGACCTCAGCCTTCGGGCTCCTCACGGTGAAGCCCCACAAAGTATAGCCGTGAAAAAGATATGTCCTTGACAGGTAAGGTTTAGATTTTTTCAAATAGTTTTCTGGAAGAAGAAGAGGAGAAGAAGAAAGGGTTAGGGTTAGGGAGTGCGGTTACGAGGTGCACACCGTTTTGAAAAGCAGCGATGAGAAGCTAAGGGGTGGCGCCACGGCCCCACACGGAACAGCTGCTCACCTTCTACTGGACTCCCATCCATAAAAAAAATCCAAGACGTCCCAACTATATAGGATTTTGTGTATGATAGAGGTTTAGGGGTCTTTTCAAACGAAACACCAGGTGACCAAGCCCTAAGGGAGCAGCGCTTCTTGTCAGCTTCAGCGCAGCGCACCACCCACAACAGTGGCGAAACCTGAATCCCCTCGAACCTTAATTCTCAGGTTCCACGGCCGAAATAGACCCTACGTCCTAGGACCCCTAAATTCTACAACCCTAAACTCCAAAATAAACATCTCCGAAATCCCTAAAGCCACAAGAATCGTAGCACTGCCAAATCCTGCGGGCGGAAAACCACCCAAAAATGTCGCCTCAGATTAACTTCTTTTCCAAAATCCTAGACCCTAACACCCCAAACCCTTCCAAACCGCTATGAAACGCTGATCAGCCCTATAAGGAAACCCTTCCCCCCTAAACCCTCCCCGCCACCTCCGCCGCATCTAGAAGCCGGTCGAAGGGCTGCGCGGCCTCGACGTCGATGTCAGCGTAGACGCCTCCAAATGCCTGAGGATTCTTTGGGTGTTGCGGCTTCAAGGTTATAGGGGTTTAGGGTTTTAGGGTTTAGGGGTTTAGGGGTTAGGGTTTAGGGGTTTAGGGTTTTTTAGGGTTTAGGGGTTTAGGGTTTAGGGGTTTAGGGGTTAGGGTTTAGGGGTTTAGGGTTTAGGGGTTTAGGGGTTTAGGGGTTTAGGGTTTTGGTTTTGGGTTGTTTTTTGTATGGGCTTTTTTCCACCTGCAGATACAGCTAGAACTCCTGTACTAGGAGGAGCCTGTGGTTGTGGCCTCTTTGTAAGTGCAGACAGGGTTTAGGGTTTTGGGTTTTGGTTTAGGGTGTAGGGTTTAGGGTTTAGGGGCTTCGGGTTTAGGCTTGGGTCTTGTCTGTCCATCCATCTATCCATCCGTCCATCTATCTTCTATGGCTCGAAAGACTGATCCTGGAGTTGCAAGCTGACACGCACTTGTTCCAATCGCTCCATGCAATCTCTGCGAGAACTTAGCTCTCGGGATTGCCTAGGGCCTGAGAAGGGCGGCAAACCGGACCATCCGTCGTTTGCTTTGGGTCTCATACCGAAGGTCGTCGATCTACGCACAGCAATTGCCTTCAGCAGCAAGATGAGGGCTTGCAGGCCATGATCTAGGACCGTTTGGGTGTTGAGTGAGACTTGGTGGCTGCTCCAACACGGACTTGCTATCCGGATGATAGGTTTGTTTTTCGAGTTCTCTAGGTGCACCCGACGTTGGCCTGATAGTAGAATGAGCCGCCCATCCTTCGGAGCAGAAATATGCAAAGCTCATGGGGCTCTAAATCGTAAGGCAGTTCCTCAAATGGCTAGAGCCGCTGTCATCAACTTAAGCGGTCCGCCGTTTTGTCTGGTGCAAGCCTTCGGCTTCGAGTTGGGGGAATTAGGACGCCATGCGTAAAGTTTAGGGTTGAGGTTAACCCTTGGACAAAGCCAGACTTGGCAGCCAGACTCCAGATCGAAAGGCGGGTCTCAGCAGTCTCGGACCAAGCTGGAAGGTACCACAGAGAGACCTAAAAAGTCTGACTAAGCTTTTGGGACATGGCCGTTAGTCAAAACATGCTCTGTGTGTGTGTGTGGGTGGGTGTGGGTGTACATGTGTATGTATATATGTGTACATATATATATACATAAGAATGTAAACGGACATCAACGTATAAGAACAGGAACGAGTTTACACATATATGTACATACAGATAGATACATGTGTGTGTGTGAACATGTACATATATGTAAGTATGAGCACGAACGAAAACAATTGCGACTGCATGTGAAGATGGGAATAGAAAGGCATGTGTGTAAACGTTTGCACTTCTTTGTATTTGTACTTGTCTACACGTATGTTAGGTTGAACACATATGAACATGAGCAAACTGTGAGATATGTGAAGACCTAGTTGTATGTACATATATATATATATATATGTGTATACACATACACGCACGTGAAGATCTACGACAACATATTTGTATGTGTATACATACTAAAAGGCACGGCCACGCGTATATAATATATATATATATATATACATATATATATATATATATATGTATATATATATATGTATATATATACATATATATATATGTGAAAAAGAATATGACAACCTTTACGAATGAGTGTGTATATATACATATATATATATAGAGAGAGAGAGAGAGAGACAGAGTGTGTGTGTATATATATATATATGTGTGTGTGTGTGTGCGGGTGTACATATGCGTGCATACACATATGCATATACATATGCATACACATGTACGTAAATGCATATGTATATATATATATGCACATATACTTACATACGCACATACATACATACATACATACATGCGCTCGCACATATCTGAATGCGTATGTGTAGATATATACATATAGAACATGAACCTGGACACATACATATACATATACATATACATGTGCATGTACATATACATACATATGCAAGGCTTTATCTGAATATCTTACGTATATGCATATGTTTGCACACAAACATATGTAACTGCTTATGTGTATGTACGAACACATGTGTATACATGTATACTATACATATATGTATAAGATGTATATGTATACATGTACACTTGAGAATGTATATATGAACATGTGTCGATAGGGATGAGTATGCATGAACCCGCAGGACATGTATGCATTCGCATGACTGCTGGTATACTACATATATATATATATATATATATATATATACACATGTGTATGTGCGTGTTTATACATAATCGTATATACACATATATTGAGGAACCAATGCACACCGAAGCACCAAGCAATGTTGAATACACATCTAGATACATTTACATGTACATATATATATATATATAGATATATATATATATATACCTACATATGTATACTATATATGTATCTATCTATCTATCTAGATATCCATCTATCTGTCTCTCTCGCTCGCTCTCTCTCTCTCTCTCTCTCGGAGGCCTGAATCATTAGACTAGCGACTAGGATTTGCACGGAGAGCTTACTTTACAGGCACTAGAGAATGCTCGGAAAAAAAAAACGTTATCAGCTATGCAGCCCTTCCCCCCCAATGTTGCCTCTCCTCTCGCTCGGATTCTCAGTTTTGTGGGATCCCACTGGCACGGTCTTCGTGTCCACACACGAGCGCGCTTCCATGCTAATGATATCGTAACCACAGATGAACCCAAACATCGGCTCTTATCTGAGCCGACTGGCTTGATCCGAGATTCTTCTCAGACTCGAAGTTCTTCTCAGATGACAACGATGGTGCGTCGGGAACGGGGTTGTTCTGAGAACTCTGCTCAGCAATCCATGCCCACTATTAATGGGAGTTTTCAACCCCCGATCCTTGAAATCGAAGCCCGGATAAACCCCTAAACCTTGCCACTGCTCATTCTATCGAAGGTAGCAGATAACTGACTCCCTTACCGCCGCATCCGCGCCCGAACGGGCTCGGCTCAGCAACTTCCGGTCTTTTGGAGCCGTTCCCTCGCTGCTTGTGAAGGCTTGGGGCTGAAGTTTAGGGCTTCAATGTGGGTAGCTGTCAAAATTGTGGCCCTTTTTTTTGGTACCCTACATATTAGGTGCCGTAATTCTTTTTTGTGGACCCAAAAAAAGCGCATGTTTGACAACCACCCATGTAACGGTTCCGAGTATCCTTTTGAGAACATACATCCTTTTGCTATCATTCGGAGTAATAAAACAAGCTGTAAAACAAACCCCCCACATGGCACGAGGTCCTGCCAAGAGACCCAATTAGCTTCGGCTTGTGGCTTGGGGCTGAAGGTTAAGGGCTCGGAGCTAAGCTAGTCGTTTGACACTTGTGCTTGCTTGAACTTGCTTTTGCACTAAAGCCAAAATGTAGCTTGCATGGGATCAAAGGATAGCTGACACCCGCAAACACGCACATCGGGAGGCACACATGTACGGGACTGTGATGGGAGCACAACTGGGGGAGCAGAAACACCAATCGCATCCCCAAGATTTCCACAGCACCGTCACGGCATCGGGGGCCGAAAATCGCGTGACTGTGGGGAGTCTCACGAAGTATGCACGGCACTGTGGCGGCAGCATAAGTGCGAGCTTTCGACAACAAAGTGGGCACGGGACGATGACCGAAGCAGGAAAGTTTGCGCGGAACTGCGGCCGGAGTGTTCATCACCAAGTAGGACTAGTTAAGTGGGAGAGCAGCAACGCTTTGGAAATCACAACGAAGTCGGCATCACCCAGCAGACGTGGCCGGTGCGGGACTTTGGAAACCGGGTGCACTTGCCGGGGGCGCCTCGCACCGTTTGCAATCGAATTGCGCAGTGGAGGGCTATTGGCTTTGGCCTCTGGATTTGGGGGTTGCGGTTTTTGGTCCTTAAAACGGTTTAGCAAGAAACATGGCAAACTACAAGGTTCACCAGCGGGATAAACATCTCTACGCTGAATCCTATGCCAAACTGTGCCGTATTTTACCATACTACTCCATACCTTACCATGTCATACCATGTCATGCCATTTTCTACCATGTTATACCATATCAAACCCATGTTATACTACATTATACTGAAACCCAGTATGCGATAATATTCTATAGTATATGATTAATACACCATATTTACTCAGATTACACTAGACCCGTGTGTGTAAAGGCTTTTGACCAGGCCAACTCGCACAGCTTGGGCACCAGCAACATCCAAATCATAGCCCTTATACCGATAGCAACATGACTCAACCCCGAACCCAAACCCTGATAAGGAGCCCCAAATGAGGTACCCCATCCGCAGCTTACGAGGGTCTTCATCTACACCATGAACCCCAGATCCCACCCCCTATCACGGTAGAATCGGACCAGACCAGTAGTAACGTTTCGAAAACCGTATTAGAAAGCGGTGACAATAGCACTAATATACTGACAGGAACGGTTACAGTAGCAATCGCAATACTAGCACGAATGCAAAAATACAACTGATATCGGGATCGTTCCAGCTCCAAGCGATCCGGTCGCGCAGAAGAGAAAGGCAGGTCGATGTGACTTCGGTCGCAGAAAAAGGGTTCGGGCTTGGGGCTCTTTGACTTAGGGTCGATATTGAAATCGCTGCTCAGGGACTCAGGGCTTAGGAGCGTAAGGGTCTGGGTTTAGGATTTAATCATTTGGGCTGTCTGACCGTCTAAACTCCGGAACTCAAGTTGGCCATTGCCGAAGAGGCTTAAACCTTTCAGCACACACACACACACACACAAGCCCTTGCGACGACTCTTCTGCCAACCGAAAGCCCTTACAACTGCAACCCGAAGCCAGGAAGCCAACGCTCGACCCTGCTACAACCCGAGACATCCGAAGCCGTCCTACAGCCATAGGATGCCATGGGCCTACAAGGGTGCAGAAGGCGCTATGAAAAAGTTTTCCCAGGGTTCCATAGGGTTGCTCTGCGGGTCTAGGGTTCAGTCCACGATCTACGGCTTGGCCCAGAGCACCAACGGGGTTGGATGTTGCAGACATGGTGTAGC